CTCTCTCTCTCTCCCTCTCTCTCTCTCCCTCTCTTCTTCCCCTTCCATGCCCTTTTCTCTCTTCCTCCAACTCACCTTTTCCACTCTCACTTTTCAGCTTGTCCTGACTCTGCTAGTGGGGACCTCTCACTGCTGCCCCCTCGTGATCAGTGGCTGAGACAACTACCCTGGCACTTTTTAATCTCGCTGCAATTTCTCTTCACTCTTGCCATCCTGTTTGCTCATTTCAAAAATGGGAAACATGGTCTCCAAAATTGTCCCCATCACTCCTCTGGCCTGGCTCCTTAACGCTGTGCAATCTCTAGGACTCCAAGGTGATACTAAGCCTTGAAGTTTAATTTTTCACTGTAACATGGCCTAGCCTCAGTATAAATTGGACAATGGGTCCTTATGCCCCCAAATGGGACTTTTGACTTCCAAATTCTTAGTGACCTTGACAGTTTCTACCATCACAGGGAAAGTGGTCTGAGATCCCTTATGTCCAAGCCTTCTTTGCCCTCTGGTCTGCCCCCCACCCTTTCTGTACCACTTGCCACCCCCAGCAAATCCTTTAAGCCAAGAGTTGCATAAAAACTCCCTACCTGAAGCCAGTCCCTTGTCTTACCAGTCTGCTTCTCAAGCCATTGCTGACTTAGCTCTGCCAACACCACCCACAACCCCAGCCCCTCTGCCTCTGGCTCAGGATCCTGCCCCCCCACCCCCCCACCCCCGCCCAGTGCACTCCCCTGCTATGGACAGCTGCTCTGACAGCCTTTTCCCTCTGTGTGAAGTCTTGGAAGACGGAGGAACAATTATCCACAAATCGCGTCCATTTCCTTTTTACGATGTCTGATCGCTCCCAGATCCAACTGCATGCTTGGGTTCCTTCTCCAGATCCCAGTCGCTACACTAAACAATTCTGCTACCTTACCCAAACCTACGACCTTACTTGGCATGATATTTATGTTATTCTTTCCACTACTTTGACCTCCATGAGCAAGAACACAACAGCCGTGTCGACTGTCCCTCCCTGCCTGTCAAGGTAGGTCAGCCCCTTCCCTTCCTCAAATACCTTGGCTTTCTCTTCACCCTCACTCCTGGGCCAGCTCATCCTAGATTGCAAAGGACACCTTCCTTCCCTTGCCCCACCCACCTGTAAGGATGAGATCCTGTCCTTTCTCGGCTTTGCTGGGTTCCTCCAAACATGGATCTCCAACTTTCCTCTTCTCTATAAGCCCCTCTATGATGCTGCCAAGAACCCTTAGACATGGTGCCTGAGGTGGCCACTGCCTTCTCTCGATTGCAAGATGCCTTCCTAGAGTCTCTGCCCTGGCTCTCCCAGACCTCAGCCAGCCCTTCATCTTATATACAACAGAAAAAAGGGGAATGGCTCTAGGAGTTCTGGGACAGATGAAGGGACCATCATTTGCCCCTGTAGCCTGTCTAAAAAACTGGACACCTCCATCAGGGGATGGGAGCCCTGCTTGCCAGCCCTCACCTCAGCAGCTCTCTAGGCCCAAGAAGCATGAAAGCTTACCTTTGGACAGAAACTCTCCTTTCTCCTCACAGACTCAAGGACCTCTTCTCTAACTCCTGTCTGTCAACCCTAACCCATCTAAACTCCAACTTTTTCATGTTAACTTTCTAGGAAACTCAGACATCAACATAGACCAATGCCCTCCACTGAACCCTGCCACCTTCTTGCCTGTACCTGAATAACTCACACACTATTGCCTGGAAACATTGGAGGAACTTACCTATCACAACCCCAAGATCTCCCTGTCTCCTCTCCCTAACCCAGACCACACCTGGTATATTGATGGCAGTTTCTCTAGCACCCCACAAGGGTCTTAGGTAGCAGGATATGCAATTGTCTCTGATGACCAGGTAATAGAGACAGGATCACTGCCTAGGAAAACAACCTCCCAAAAGGCAGAACTTGTTGCCCTCACTCAGGCCTTCACCCTGGACAAGGAAAAACAATCAATGTTTATACTGACTCTAATATGCTTTTAGTATCCTGCACCATCATGCCACCAATTGGAAAGAGAGAGATTTTCTATCAGCTAAGAGGACCCCCAATCCAATGGACCACTTATTCTCAAATTACTGGAGGCCTCTTATTTACCAGCACAGGCAGCTGTCATCCAGTGCAAAAGACATCAACCCTTGACCTCTTCCATGGCCTGGGGAAATTCCTTTGCAGAGAGGGTTGTTAGAGAGTCAAGTCTCCAAACCCGGGATATGTCCTCAGTTCTTTTTCTTGCCCAACCTCCTTTACTCCCTCCTATTCTCCGACAGAGAGGCGACCTTCATGAAGCAGAGTGCCATCGCTGGCCCTCAGATGGGAGACCTCTACTGTCTACCTGACTCCCAGGCTATGACCATACTTAACCATTTACAAAATCTCTTTCATATTGGTACCTGCCACCTATACAGGTCCCTGACCCCCCTTCTCTTTCATCCTTGCCTCTCCTCACTAATCTCCTCTGTGACAAAGGCTTGCTCTCTCTGTGCAAAAGCCTCTCCACAGGGAGGGGCCAAACCTCCTCCCTCTTTCAACCCCTTCAGCAAAGGGGCTCTCTCACTGGAACCAACTGGCAGATTGGCTTTACCCATATGCCCCCTCATATGCTCCTCACCATGGTAGATACTTTCTCAGGATGGACTGAGCCCTTCCCAATAGCCTGCAAAACTGCAGATGTTGTTGCCTCTCATCTCCTCTAGTCCATCCTCCCCTGCTTTGATCTTCCCCTCACCATTCCAGTCCGACAACAGGCCAGCCTTTATCTCCAAAATTACACAAGAAATATCCAAAGCTCTAAAAATTAGCTGGAAGCTCCATATCCCTTATAGACTCCAATCCTCAGGCAAGGTGGAATGGGCAAATGCAATTCTCAAAAGTCATCTTTCCAAATTAACCTCTGAACTTCATTTACCCTGGATTCTCCTCCTTTCACTTGCCCTAGCCAGGATCAGCTCTATCCCAAGCCCCTCTCATTTCTCAGTCCCTTTGAACTCATGCATCATCGTCCTTTCTCTTAAGTAACCTTCCTCCTCTAGAAAGCACCCCCCTTCACACCTCCCGGAGTTCACTCTCATCAGAAACCTCCTCTAGGAACATGGCAACCACCTCTTCCCCAACCTCCAAAAAGACCCCACTCTTCTGCCTCTTTATCTAGGAGACCAGGTGTATCTCAGACAATCACACCCACACTGTGATTGGACCGGACCCCATCTGGTCATTCTAACTATTCTCAGAGCCACCAAGTTCCAGGGAATCCCTAACTGGGTCCCCCTTTCACAACTTAAATGCATCAGGCCAGAGCAACTTGACTCCTGAACAATGAGAGATAAGTACTCCTCCACCCCAACCAGCCCTCTAAAACTCAGCATGTCCCACCCTTCCCTGCCTCCGGTGCCAGAATGACCCCTCTTGTCTAGTTGTTTCTGGGATTTATCCTTGTTTCATCTCTTCCTCGCTCATCAACGTGTCTGCCCCTCCCTATGCCTG